CTGATGAACATAGATGCAAAAATTCTCAACAAAATATTGGCAAAGCGAATACAGCAATACATTAAAAAGATTATACACCATGATCAAGTGGGATTTATACCAGGGACACAGGGATGGTGCAACATCTGCAAATTAATCAATGTGATACACCACATTAACAAAACAAGGAATAAAAACCATATGATCAGCTCAATAGACACAGAGAAGGCATTTGACAAGATCCAACATCGATTTATGATAAAAAATATCAACAAAATGGGTCTAGAAGGAAAGTACCTTAACATAATAAAGGCCATATATGACAAACCCACAGCCAACATCATACCCAATGGGGAAAAACTGAAAGCCATCCCTCTGAAAACAGGAACAAGACAAGGGTGCCCACTCTCGCCATTCTTATTCAACACAGCACTGGAGGTCCTGGCCGGAGCAATTAGGCAAGAAAAAGGAATAAAAGGAATCCAAATAGGCAATGAAGAAGTGAAACTCGCGCTGTTTGCAGATGACATGATCTTATATATAGAAAACCCTAAAGAATCCATTGGCAAACTATTAGAAATAATCAACAACTACAGCAAAGTTGTAGGGTACAAAATCAACTTACAGAAATCAGTTGCATTTCTATATACCAACAATGAACTAACAGAAAGAGAAGTCAAGAAGACAATCCCATTTACAATTGCAACAAAAAGAATAAAATATCTAGGAATAAATTTAACCAAGGAAGTGAAAGGCCTATACAATGAAAACTATAAGACGTTACTGAGTGAAATCAATGATGACATAAAGAAATGGAAAAATATTTCATGCACTTGGATTGAAAGAATAAACATAGTTAAAATGTCCATACTACCTAAAACAATCTACAGATTCAATGCAATCCCAATCAGAATCCCAAGGACATTCTTCCTGGAAATAGAACAAAGAATCTTAAAATTTACATGGAACAACAAAAGACCCTGAATAGCCAAAGCAATCCTGAGAAAAAAGAACAAAGCTGGAGGCATCACAATCCCTGACTTCAAAACATACTACAGGGGGGTGGGAGGAGGGCGAAAGGGATAATTCGGCACATGTGTGTGGTGATAGGTTGTAATTGGTATTTGAGTGGTGAACATGATGTAATCTATGCAGAAATAGAAGTATAACGATGTACACCTGAAATTTATACAATGTTATAAACCAATGTTACTGCAATAAACAAAAATTTAAAATAAATAAATAACTACCATTATCACACCTAAAAAGAAAAAAAAAAACATACTACAAAGCTATAATAATCAAAACAGCATAGTACTGGTACAAAAACAGACACACAGATCAATGGAACAGAATTGAAAGCCCAGAAATAAAACTACACATTTACAGACAGCTAATCTTGGACAAAGGAGCCAAGAACATAGAATGGAAAAAGGAAAGTCTCTTCAGTAAATGGTGCTGGGAAAACTGGACAGCCACATGCAAAAGATGAAAGTAGACCATTATCTTACACCATACACAAAAATTAACTCAAAATGGATTAAAGACTTGAAGGTAAGACATGAAATCATAAAACTCCTAGAAGAAAATATAGGTAGTACACTCATTGACATTGGTCTTAGCAGCATCTTTTCGAATACCATATCTACTCGGGCAAGAGAAACAAAAGAAAAAGAATCAAACAGGATTATACTAGACTAAAGAGCTTCTGCAAAGCAAAGGAAACCAGGAACAAAACAAAAAGACAACCCACCAACGGGAAGAAAATATTTACAAATCATATATCCGACAAGGGGTTAATCTCCAAAATGTATAAAGAACTCGTACAACTCAACAACAAAAAAACAAACAACCCAATCAAAAAATGGGCAGAGGATATTAACAGACATTTTTCCAAAGAAGATATACAGATGGCCAACAGGCACATGAAAAGATTTTCAACATCACTAATCATCAGGGAAATGCAAATTAAAACTACAATGAGATATCACCTTACACCAGTCAGAATAGCTATAATTACCAAGACAAAAAATAACAAATGTGGAGAGGATGTGGAGAAACAGAAACCCTCATACACTGTTGGTGGGAATACAAACTGGTGCAGCCACTTTGGAAAACAGTATGGAGATTTCTCAAAAAATTAAAAATAGAAATACCATACCACCCAGCTATCCCACTACTGGCTATTTATCCAAAGAACTTGAAATCAACAATTCAAAGAGACTTATGCACCCCTATGTTCATTGTAGCATTATTCACAATTGCCAAGATGTGGAAGCAACCCAAGTGTCCATCAACTGATGAATGGATAAAGAAGATGTGGTATACACACACAATGGAATACTACTTAGCCATTAAAAAAGACAAAATCATCCTCTTTGCAACAACATCGATGGACCTCGAGGGTATGATGTTGAGTGAAATAAGCCAGATAGAAAGACAAACACCACATGATTTCACTCATATGTGGAAGATAAACACATGGACAAAGAGAACAGATTAGTGGTTACCAGAGGGGAAGGGGGTTGGGAAGGGCAAAAGGGGTGAAGAGGCACATATATATGGTGATGGATAAAATTAGACTATTGGTGGGGAGTATGATGCAGTCTATACAGAAACTGATACACAATAATGTACATCTGAAATTTCACAATGTTATAAATCATTATGACTTCAATAAAATAATTTTTTAAAAAAAGAATAAAAAAGAGTGAACTATTGATATCCACAACAGCGCAGATACATCTCAAAAGATTTGCCAAGTTAAAGATGCCAAACAAAACAGTGTTACATACTGCATGATTCCACATAGACTAAATCATAGAACTAATCTCTAGTGATAGAAAGCAGACTGATTGCCAGGAAGTATCAGGGGGCAGGAATGAGTGGAATGGAGAGATTACAAAGGGGCAGACTGGTGACGGATTCACGACTATGGTGAAGGCTTCATGGGTTTCATATCAAAACTCACCAATGTGACTGTGTATACTTTAAATAAGGGCAGTTTCCTGTATGAAAATTACACCACAAAAACCCTGTTAAATTTGTTTTTAAATCTGACACTCGGAACCACATTTGAAAAGCACTAACTCTGAAATATCCTATGCTCTGCATATGACACAACTTTCACATTTCTGTGGATGTACCAAAAGGAGGCAGAGCATGCTAGTAGAAAAGCCCCAGAAACAAACTTCAGAATCTTAGCATGTGATCTCTTTGGAGTTTCAGCTTATTTCATTTTGGACCAGATTCTTTTTATTAGAATTATAAAAACAGTCTTATTTGAGGGCCAGCCCCCAGTGGCTTAGTGGTTAAGTTTGGCGTGTTCCGCTTCGGCGGTCCGGGTTCGGTTCCCAGGCACAGACCTACGGCACTCGTCTAATAGTGGCCAGGCTTTGGCAGCAGCTCACATAAAAAAGGAAAAAAAGAGGAAGATTGGCAACAGACATTAGCTCAGGGTCAATCTTCCTCAGCAAAACGAAAAAACTTATTTCACTTTAACTACATCTAGCATTTAATAAAACCATCTATAAGAATTCAGAAAATTATTCAAGCAGATGGGAGAATAAAGTTAAAATTCACTATCAAGATCCAAAGTTCCTGAGTTATTCTTAATAACTTAACTATAAAAGCACTAAAAATGGTAACGTTATACAAATTTTGAGCAAAATTTTTTGACCAAATATTTTCTTATTCATTCAAAAATTTAAATTATATAACAATAAACCTGCAGATACAGCCTTTTTTTTTTTTTTTTGCTGAGGAAGATTCACCCTGAGCTAACATCTGTTGTCAATCTTCCTCTTTTTGCTTGAGGAAGATTCACTCTAAGCTAACGTCTGTGCCAATCTTTCTCTATTTTGTATGTGGGTTGCCACCACAGCATGGCCCCCAACAAATGGTGTAGGTCCACGCCCAGGATCCAAACCTGTGAACACAGGTTGCCAAACTGGAGTGCACCCAACTTAACCTCTAGGCCACGGGGCTGGCCCCCCTTATCCCATTTTTTTCCAACCCCTGTTTCCCCTCTATATATTTTTGCTATAATAGCCACTGGAAAACTTTCCATTAGTTTCCAAAACCAATAATCACTAACAGTTACTAATTACTGGCATTTAGCAACCTTAAATACAACTTTAAATGCTGTTTAATTTGTTATACCTTCAACCAGGAGTTAGTATCTTTTTAGCATCATCTCTGTGGTTAGGAAGCCAATACAGATACTAAATTGCAACTACTGCAATTAGTGAAAAGTTCTACTAAAATTATAGCAATTTATCTAGTCATCTTCACTCTTCATTCCCAACTGTATGGCATATTAAACCTAAACATACACCTTTTACTACTTTACTCAAAATAAATCACTTTAATCATATTTAGTTAATGGAAAGCATGTGAGTATGTATATAAAATTCATCTCAAAGGCATTCTTCTATGTAGTATGCCTCTGAGGATGAATTTTATACACACGCACCCACACACGCACACATACACATATATTTGAGTGCAGGAAGTATGTTATTACATTTTACAAAGCAGTAAGTAAATTTCACAGATTGTATATCAATGTTAAATTTTAACCATCATGTATATAAGATGACAGCTTAGTAACTTGATAAAATGTTTAACCCAACAGTGACTCTGGTTAGGGTCATTTTTCTATTTC